TGGGGGGGAGGGGGTGCAGGGTCCTTGCCAGCCCGCGGCGCCCGAAATCGGGGTGTCCTCAGGAACACGTGGCCCCGCCACGTGCCCGCGCGCTGCCACATGGCCCCTGGCCACGATGCTGCTGGGGGGGAAACTGAGGCACGGGGGAAAGCTTGGCTGAGCTGGGCGGGGGCCGTGCTCGTGTGTCCCTGTGCACACGTGTGTTCGTATGTTCCTGTGCATGGATGTCCCTGGGATTGGGGACACGTGGTGTCGGGGGACACGCGTGTGCAGGGCGAGGCTGGCGTGATCGCCGCCACCGCGTGCGGATGGAAAAGTCCTGTTGGGGCCCCAAAAGCAGCAGGGGTCCCCCCCGAGCCTGGGGACGTTGGGACACAGGGACAGAGGGACATGGGACCAGGGGGACATGGAGACAGGGGGCTATGGGGACACGGGGGCAGGGGGATGTGGGACCACAGGGCCCTGGGGACATGGTGCCATGTGGATGCAGGGACATGGGGCCACCAGGGTATGGTGTCGCAGGGACACAGGGGTCCTGGGGACACAGAGCTATGGGGACGTGGGACCGTGGGGTCCCGGGAATGGGGGGAAACAGGTCTGGGGAGCACGGGGACCCGGGGTCCTGGGGCTATGGGGACACGGGGACATAGGGCAACAGGGTCCTGGGGACACGGGGCCAGGGGACCCCGGGGATCTGGGACCACGAGGAGCCAGCGGCATGGGGCGATGGAGGCGCAGGGACCCAGGGATGTGGGAGGAGGGGACAGAGCCAGGTTGACCCCAACCCCACTCAGCTCCTGCCACCCCCTGGAGAGGGGGACACGGTGACCCCGAGGGGGGACACCTCCCCTCTGTGCCTCAGTTTCCCTTTGAGCACTGAGAGCCGCAGCGGAGGAGCAGCGTGAGAGGAAGGCAGAGCCCATCCCTGTGATGAAGCCGCCCGGCCTCAGCCCGGCTGGCGCAGGAGAAGGGGGCACGGCTCCGCTTTCACGCCTTGGCAATCCCTTTATTGCTTTTGGG